TCGTTCTTTAATTTTTTTTTTCAACTCCGATCTATTTGTAAATACTTTTTTATAAAAATCAATAACAAAGTTACTCACTCTCAAAAAATTGATATACACTTTTTACTTTCCTACATTTTCTGATTTATGACAGTTGCTTGTTCGATWCCCCACTCGCTTAGAGATCGGTGTCTTTACTTGTAGAATATTTTACCATAGTTTCATGAACTATTTTACCATAGTTGAAATTTGCATATAYTTTTAATGAGCTATATCACTATAAATTTAGACTTCAAAAATGAAATGATCAGACCTAACTTCCAATCCGCAAATATTTTTTGACCAATTTAAACACCAAAAATTTGTATATACACACATTTCATGTAATTTCTATGTGGCTTACCATAAAACTTAATATTTTCAACGAAAACTTTCTAACTAAAAACATTTTCTTTTTACTCTCTTCCAATCCCACACCTWCSTTCATAGGCTGGTTTGGCTGGCGCTTTGTCTCAGCTGCGTCTCGGCGAGCAACGCACACCCGAACAGGAAGCCTACGAACAGCTAATGCGCCGCCAATGCTGGGAATCCGGGCAAATCGATTACACCGGCMGAGATGCCTTCGACAATATTTGGAAGAAAATCACGCAAACCTTGGAATCGAAGCCCGGCGCCACGCCGCCACAGGAGGAGGATAAGTCTGGTACTTCATAAAAAAAAAAAACTGTTTTAATAAAAATAAAACAAAAATTTCTTAACAAATATGAAGTGAAACATTTTCAAGCACATGAAAGAAAAGAGACGTCCTTCACAGTTATACCTACATAAATACTAAAAAAAAATATATACATATATAAATAATGAAAAATAATACAAAATTGCACAAAAAAAAAAAGAAGAAGAAAACACTACAACAAACATTTTACATTTACAATAAAGCGAAAATGTTTGCTACAAACAAAGCACAATGAACAAACTTTTTCTATTACGCACACACACATAAACACAAAGGCACACATGCATATTCACAWGTAGGCCCACATGCTTACTCGCCCACAGGCACAGCATGCGACAATAAAATATGCACAAGTTGAGGGCACATTATTTCACTGACATTGGTTGAAAATTTTTCTTCGAAATTTTTGAGTCGAAATTTTAAACTTGTGCCAATGCCAAAAATTTTTCATTTTATTTTTATTTTCGAAAATCAAACATCACTTTGATTTTCGAAAATTTAAATTCACTTTTATGATCGAAACCTGAAAATCACTTCAAAAAAAAAAGTACTCATGCTTGCCATATCATAGCGCCCAACCACATCATTGCAATTGTTAATTATCTACACTAATTTAATTAATTTTYGTTCAGACAATTCATTATTTAAGTAAGTCAGTTGCGCATTTTATCTACAAATTTGTTTCGAACATTTAGTTTTTGTAGTCATTTCGATAACTTTTGTAAATTGTTGTTCACAAAAATCATATTTCAA